GTGAAGTGACGCGTTGAGCGGCAAAAACACGTGAAGCGAAAACCCCCCCCCCCCCCGTAGATAATTTGACGGTGAAGTGCGGTGAAGTAAAAACTATAAACTCTGTGACGTGCTAGAAAGCTGTTTTTTTTTCACACATTTCCAGTAGGAGCCCCGCCGAGGTTTCAACAAAACGCAAGAAAAAAAAACGCGGCAGGAGTGCAGAGTATAGGAATGGTAGAAAAATGACTTTAAAAAATGTATTCCTATTCTTGGTTCTTTCGGTAAAGTCACCACGTGGAAGGGGAAACAATAAAATAATACAAATATAAAACGATGAAATTCTCACGACGTTTCGACTGTAGCACAAGCAATCGTCATCAGGTGTGAAAACCAACGGCAAGTCACGTTGGTTTTCACACCTGATGATGGCTGTTTGTGTTACGGTCGAAATGTCGTGAGAATTTTATTGTTTTTATATATATTTTATATTATCGTTTCCCTTCTAACGTGGTGACTTTACCGAGAGAACCAAGAATATGAATCCCTGCAGTCACGAAAGGTTTAAATTAAAAATCACTAAACTATAAACTATTTTTATTTTTCGATTTAAAGCTTTCGTGACTGCAGTCATTCACATTCATGGTTCTTTCGGTAAAAGTCACCACCACGTCAGAAGGGAAACAATAAAATAACAAAAAAATATAAAACAATTAAATTCTCACGACGTTTCGACCGCAACACAAGAAGCAATCGCCATCAAATGTTCTTGCTGTGGTTCTCACACCTGATGATGATTGCTTGCGTTGAAATCGAAACGTCGTGAGAATTTAATCGTTTTATATTTTTATTATTTTATTGTTTCCCTTCTAACGTGGTGGTGACTTTACCGAACGAACCAAGAATATGAATCCCTGCAGTCACGAGAAAGCTTTAAATCACAATGTGTACCTGTGAAACTAAACTCTATTTTACACGCTTTCATTTCACTCGCTCTGTCTGTTTCGATTGAAAGCTTTCGTGACTGCAGGGATTCATATTCTTGGTTCTTTCGGTAAAAGTCACCACCACGTTAGAAGGGAAACAAAAAAATAATAAAAATATAAAACAATAAAATTCTCACGACGTCTTGACTGTAACACAAACAGTCATCATCAGGTGTGAAAAGCAACGTGACTTGCCGTTGGTTTTCACACCTGATGATGACTGTTTGCGTTACAGTCGAAACGTCGTGAGAATTGTATTGTATTTTATATTTTTATTATTTTATTGTTTCCCTTCTAACGTGGTGGTGACTTTTCCGAAAGAACCAAGAATCGCTGCCGTATCAAATCTTGTAACTCAATTATAACCCACTTCCCAATGTGGTATCGACTTGCAGACTTGGTATACTTATGTCATACTGATGCAAATAACTATATTCAATAATAATTAATTTAAAAAAATGTGTATTCTTAAGCATTATTTTTTTGTATGTTACGTTTCGGCTTGCGTCAAATTGTCCACGCTCAACTGACGTTTGGCTGTAATTGGCCACGGTCCGTTACGTTGTGGCGAGCTTCATGGCCACTTTCTGCAGTCGTGGAGTTCTTCCACTACCAGTACGGTACATTTCATAAAAGCGTGTTTATTAAAAAAAGGTTTTTAAATATTACTTATTATTGTACCGGGCAGGGCCCAGCGCTGGGCTACGTTACTTGTGTTCCGACGAGACCCTGGCTGATGCAAATCATAGCGGCAGCCAAATACTCTTAAAGACGCGTGGTGACGTCGATTCCAAATGTGGATGGGTGGGGGAAAAAACCGGTGGTCCCGGGGAATTATCCACGCGACCACGGGGAGAGAGAGACGCAGACTCCACGTGAATAGCAGGGCGTAATGGTCTCGATCGAACACTCGACCTCCTGCACACCAGGCGAGGTAGTTAACATCTCCTAGCCACCACAGCAAATATACAGCCAGGCATCGTCTGGGTCTGGATCGAACCCACGACCTCCTACACGCCAGGCGAGGTAGTAAACATCTCCTAGCCACCACAGCAAATATACAGCCAGGCATCGTCAGGGTCTGGATCGAACCCACGACCTCCTGCACACCAGGCGAGGTAGTAAACATCTAGCCACACAGCAAATATACAGCCAGGCATCGTCAGGGTCTGGATCGAACCCACGACCTCCTGCACACCAGGCGAGGTAGTTAACATCTGTCCCCTGCTGCGCCTCAGACAGGCGGTGACGGCAGCTCCGCTTGCACGTGTCTGCCGAGCGATCGTCCCAGCGCCCTGCATGAGGCAGCGAGGGGTTGGCGGATCAAATGCAGATGGGTTGTGACACTCCCTGCTGCCCGTGTATCCAGCGCCCATGAGGGGCCGTTCCCTTGGCTCTGCCAGCAGAGGGGGCAGTACAGCGAATCGAGATGGCGAGGGGTTGGCGGAACGCAAAGAGATGGGGTGGGAAACTCTCTTCTACTTGTGGATGGGCGTTGATGAGGAACCATACCCCCCATGGCTCTGCCAGGTGGAATGCAGTTGCAGCAGAGTGTGTGGACTAATCTCCATCCGTTCCATCTCTCACTCCCTTCTACCCCCTGTGTGTGTGGACTAATCTCCATCTGTTCCATCTCACTCCCCTCTACCCCGTGTGTGGACTAATCTCCATCTGTTCCATCTGACTCCCCTCTACCCCGTGTGTGGACTAATCACCATCTGTTCCATCTCACTCCCCTCTACCCCGTGTGTGGACTAATCTCCATCTGTTCCATCTCACTCCCTTCTACCCCGTGTGTGGACTAATCTCCATCTGTTCCATCTCACTTCTACCACGTGTGTGGACTAATCTCCATCTGTTCCATCTCACTCCCCTTCTACCACGTGTGTGGACTAATCTCCATCTGTTCCATCTCACTCCCCTCTACCCCGTGTGTGGACTAATCTCCATCTGTTCCATCTCACTCCCCTCTACCCCGTGTGTGGACTAATCTCCATCTGTTCCATCTCACTCCCTTCTACCCCGTGTGTGGACTAATCTCCATCTGTTCCATCTCTCTCCCCTCTACCCCGTGTGTGCACTAATCTCCATCTGTTCCATCTCACTCCCCTCTACCCCGTGTGGAGACTAATCTCCATCTGTTCCATCTTACTCCCTTCTACACCGTGTGTGGACTAATCTCCATCTGTTCCATCTCACTCCCCTCTACCCCGTGTGTGGACTAATCTCCATCTGTTCCATCTCTCACTCCCCTCTACCCCGTGTGGAGACTAATCTCCATCTGTTCCATCTTACTCCCTTCTACACCGTGTGTGGACTAATCTCCATCCGTTCCATCTCTCACTCCCCTCTACTCCGTGTGTGGACTAATCTCCATCTGTTCCATCTCACTCCCCTCTACACCGTGTGTGCACTAATCTCCATCTGTTGCATCTGACTCCCCTCTACCCCGTGTGTGGACTTAATCTCCATCTGTTCCATCTCACTCCCCTCTACCCCGTGTGTGCACTAATCTCCATCTGTTCCATCTCACTCCCCTCTACCCCGTGTGGAGACTAATCTCCATCTGTTCCATCTTACTCCCTTCTACACCGTGTGTGGACTAATCTCCATCTGTTCCATCTCACTCCCCTCTACCCCGTGTGTGGACTAATCTCCATCTGTTCCATCTCTCACTCCCCTCTACCCCGTGTGGAGACTAATCTCCATCTGTTCCATCTTACTCCCTTCTACACCGTGTGTGGACTAATCTCCATCCGTTCCATCTCTCACTCCCCTCTACTCCGTGTGTGGACTAATCTCCATCTGTTCCATCTCACTCCCCTCTACACCGTGTGTGCACTAATCTCCATCTGTTGCATCTGACTCCCCTCTACCCCGTGTGTGGACTTAATCTCCATCTGTTCCATCTCACTCCCCTCTACCCCGTGTGGAGACTAATCTCCATCTGTTCCATCTTACTCCCTTCTACCCCGTGTGGAGACTAATCTCCATCTGTTCCATCTTACTCCCTTCTACACCGTGTGTGGACTAATCTCCATCTGTTCCATCTCACTCCCCTCTACCCCGTGTGTGGACTAATCTCCATCTGTTCCATCTCTCACTCCCCTCTACCCCGTGTGGAGACTAATCTCCATCTGTTCCATCTTACTCCCTTCTACACCGTGTGTGGACTAATCTCCATCCGTTCCATCTCTCACTCCCCTCTACTCCGTGTGTGGACTAATCTCCATCTGTTCCATCTCACTCCCCTCTACACCGTGTGTGCACTAATCTCCATCTGTTGCATCTGACTCCCCTCTACCCCGTGTGTGGACTTAATCTCCATCTGTTCCATCTCACTCCCCTCTACCCCGTGTGGAGACTAATCTCCATCTGTTCCATCTTACTCCCTTCTACCCCGTGTGGAGACTAATCTCCATCTGTTCCATCTCACTCCCCTCTACCCCGTGTGTGGACTAATCTCCATCTGTTCCATCTTACTCCCTTCTACACCGTGTGTGGACTAATCTCCATCTGTTCCATCTCACTCCCCTCTACCCCGTGTGTGGACTAATCTCCATCTGTTCCATCTCACTCCCCTCTACCCCGTGTGTGGACTAATCTCCATCCGTTCCATCTCTCACTCCCTTCTACCCCCTGTGTGTGGACTAATCTCCATCTGTTCCATCTCACTCCCTTCTACCCGGAGTGTGGACTAAACTCCATCTGTTCCATCTCACTCCCCTCTACCCCGTGTGTGCACTAATCTCCATCTGTTCCATCTCACTCCCCTCTACCCCGTGTGTGGACTAATCTCCATCTGTTCCATCTTACTCCCTTCTACACCGTGTGTGGACTAATCTCCATCCGTTCCATCTCTCACTCCCCTCTACCCCGTGTGTGGACTAATCTCCATCTGTTCCATCTCACTCCCCTCTACCCCGTGTGTGGACTTAATCTACATCTCGTTAACTTCTCGCGACCGCGGCGGTTCTGCTCTGCGTCCCCCTACCCCACCCTCCCCCCCCCCCCCCCCCCCCCCCCCCGTACCAGACACGGTGCGCGCCGTGGGCCTCCTGCAGGAGTACCACGCACGGCTGGCAGCATCGCCGGGGGACGCCCGCCTGCGTGGAGCCATAGAGCGCGTCGTCACCATCCTGGGCAGCAGCCTCTTCCAGTCGCTCCTCGGTGAGACGCGCAGAGGGCAAAAGGTGGCCCTCCTCCCCCTCCCCCTGTGTGGTGTAAGCATCGGCACCCGGTGTGTGTACGTTGGAATTCTTTGGCACGGTGCGGAGCCATCCGTGCTAAGTGGAGGTGCGGAGGGTTGAGTCTGTGGTGCGGTGTTGAGTCTGTGGTGCGGTGTTGTGTCTGTGGTGCGGTGTTGAGTCTGTGGTGCGGTGTTGAGTCTGTGGTGCGGTGTTGAGTCTGTGGTGCGGTGTTGAGTCTGTGGTGCAGTGTTGAGTCTGTGGTGCGGTGTTGAGTCTATGGTGCAGTGTTGAGTCTGTGGTGCAGTGTTGAGTCTGTGGTGCGGTGTTGAGTCTGTGGTGCGGTGTTGAGTCTGTGGTGCGGTGTTGAGTCTGTGGTGCGGTGTTGGGTCTGTGGTGCAGTGTTGAGTCTGTGGTGCAGTGTTGAGTCTGTGATGCGGTGTTGAGTCTATGGTGCGGTGTTGAGTCTGTGGTGCGGTGTTGAGTCTGTGGTGCGGTGTTGAGTCTGTGGTGCGGTGTTGAGTCTATGGTGCAGTGTTGAGTCTGTGGTGCAATGCTGAGTCTGTGGTGCAATGCTGAGTCTATGGTGCAGTGTTGAGTCTGTGATGCGGTGTTGAGTCTGTGGTGCAGTGTTGAGTCTATGGTGCAGTGTTGAGTCTGTGATGCGGTGTTGAGTCTGTGGTGCGGTGTTGAGTCTATGGTGCGGTGTTGAGTCTATGGTGCAGTGTTGAGTGAATCAATGGGCAGTGTTGAGTCTATGGTGCGGTGGTGAGGCATTGGTGCAGTGTTGAGTGCATCAATGGGCAGTGTTGAGTCTATGGTGCAGTGTTGAGTCTTTGGGCAGTGTTGAGTCTACTGGCAGTGTTGAGTCTATGGTGCAATGCTGAGTCTATGGTGCAGTGTTGAGTGAATCAATGGGCAGTGAGTCTGTGGATCTCTATGTATGTACTGTATATTGAACTTTTTTGCACTGTACACAGCCAACCGTGCTAATCGGAGCTGCCGTGGGGAGGGGGGAGGGGGTGAAAGACAACAAACTAAACACAACACAAAGCCGTTCTAAAGAAATGAGTTTGTCAATCTAAATAATGTCGATGACGTGAACGTGCATCTCGGCTACCCAGTGGCTTCCTGGTATCGGAAGGGAAGAGCGTTCCAGACGGCCGCAGAGGCGCAGCGCGTTCTGAAAGCGCCGCGAAGACGATGCGATTCCGACGACGTGCGTGGAACGACGTCATCGTCAATTTTTCCATCGTTTGTTCATTCAAATTAAAAGCGTGTTGTTGTTGTTGTTGTTTTGGGGCGGGGGGGTGGAAACGGAAGGAGCGGAGAAGAGAATGAGAGAGGGAGACCTCACGGAGGAACACAACCAATATTATCCGCAATCGATGTTTTATTTTATTGTTTTATTGGGTGACGTCGCGTGAAATTTAAATGTGGTCGTTCAACCCGCCACCGCCACCCGGTACAGTCGGTCAGTAAGGAGGGTTTGTCACGTGAACGAAACGTGGCCAATAAGTTTCTAGTTCAGCACTAACCGGTTTATAGTGTAGTGTATAATATAGTATACAGCATTGTATAGTGTGATGTATAGTAGTGTATAGTGTAGTGTATAGCGGTGTATAGTAGTGTAGAGTGTAATTTATAGTAGTGTATAGCAGTGTGTAGTGTATAGTGTGGTGTATAGTCGTGTAGAGTGTAATTTATAGTAGTGTATAGCAGGGTATAGTGTAATGTATACGGTGTAGTGTATAGCGGTGTATAGCAGTGTATGGTATAGTGTATAGTGGTGTATTGTATAGTCGTGTATAGTAGTGTAGTGTATAGTAGTGTATAGTGTAGTGTATAGTGCAGTGTATAGCAGTGTATAGTAGTGTAGTGTAATTTATAGTAGTGTAGAGTGTAGTGTATAGTAGTGTATAGCGGTGTATAGTAGTGTATGGTGTAGTGTATAGTGTAGTGTATAGTAGTGTAGTGTAGTGTAATTTATAGTAGTGTAGTGTAATTTATAGTAGTGTAGTGTAATTTATAGTAGTGTAGAGTGTAATTTATAGTAGTGTATAGTGTAGTGTATAGTGTAGTGCAGGGGTCGGGAACCTTTTTGACTAAGAGAGCCATGAAAGCAAAAAAATTGGAAATTTATTTCAGTGAGAGCCATATAATATATTTTAAAAGTGAATTCAACTAAATGTCAGTATAATAAGCCTCTGAATTTATTCTTTTAAATAATGTTGTTATAACACTCACCATTAATGCGACTTCTGGTGCTGCATGGATTTGCTGATGTCTTTGTAGTCGGGTTGGTACTTGGTGAGGTTAAGCTTCATGCAAGCGTTGAGGCTTTCATCCGTTAAACGTGATCGTAGGTTGGACTTGATGTTTTTAAGATGTGAGAATGACTGCTCACATGCATACGTAGATCCAAACATGGTCAATACAGCAATACTCACACGCTGCAGTGTGTGGTATGTGACAGGAAGCGCGTTCCAAGTTTTGAGAATCAGCTGGTCTTCGGGTTGGAGTTTTTTTCATTTCTGTCCACATGTGCTTGCTCGCCAACTCCGCTTTCTGTCGTGTGATTCTTTCCAAATCTTCATTCAGTGACTTGAACTTATTCACCCACATGTCTGAGGCCTTCAGGTCAGCCACTTCTGCTTCAAAATCTCTGACGGAGACACCAGGAATGTAATTCAGGTCGGCTGTGTTCAGTGAACACTCGTTTGGATGGGTGATGAACTTAAAAAGACGAGTGTGCTCACGAAATTCTCCAAAGCGTGCTTTGAAGGACTGTAGGAGACTGGATGTGCAGCCAGCTAGCTGGTGGAGATCAAGGTTTTGAATGGGCTCACTTGCTGTGCATGCATCTTTAAATTGGCTCAGTTTTTCAAAATGTAGTAAACGACCTGTTTCAAGATCCGTGATGAAAAGCTCCAGCTTGTTTTCAAAAGCAAATACAGCTTGTTGAAGGGATAACACTGTATTTCCAATGCCTTGCATTTTCACGTTGAGCTGGTTCAGATGTTCAGTCAGATCTACGAGATAGTAAAACTTTAGGAGCCACTCGGTGTCGGCTAGCTCAGGATGCCCGACGCCTTTCATTTCAAGGAAAGTCCGGATTTCGTTCAGGCAAGCCGCAAAACGGCTAAGCACCTTCCCTCTTGACAACCAACGCACATTGCTGTGCAAAAGCAGACCAGGATAGTTATTTACAACTTCATCCAGCAGTGTTTTAAACTGGCGATCATTTAAGGCTCGGGCAACAATAAAGTTGATCACACGAATGACCAGCGACATCACTTCGCCAAACTGCCTGTCACACATCTGAGCACAAAGTGCCTCCTGGTGTATAATGCAATGGAAACTTAGGATGGGTCTATTTTCATGTTCACGGAGAAGCGCCACAAATCCTTTGTTTTTCCCCACCATACACGGAGCACCATCAGTACACACTGAGAGAAGTTTATCCATAGGTAGACTTTTTTCTTGAGCAAACTCCATGAAAGACTTGAATAAATCCTCACCTCTTGTGGACCCTTTTAATGGCAGAACAGCAAGACTTTCTTCGCGCAGTGTGTCACCAACAGCATATCTTGCAATCACGCTGAACTGCGACAAATGGCTCACGTCTGTTGACTCATCCAAAGCCAGAGAAAAGAACGGCGCTGCATTTATGTCCTTCACTTGCGTTTCCTCCACTTTGTTTGCCATCACGATGGTAGATCATGAACAGTTCTTGCCGACAGAGGCATGTCTTGTATCCGTTTGATTATCTTGTCTTTGTTCGGAAGATCATCAAAAAGTTCATTGGCTACATCCAGCATGAACGTTTTAGCATACTCGCCATCTGTGAATGGTTTTCCGTTCCTCACTATTGCTAAAGAACCAGCAAAGCTAGCCGAATTATAGTCACCTTGCCGGGTCCATACGCGGAGTTGCTGCTGGCTAGCTTGCACCCTGCTCAGAAGCTCTTGGCACGCTTTCTTTCTGCTGTCTCCCGCAGGGTATTTTGATGCAAAGGTAGCGTGGCGCGTGTCGAAGTGCCGCTTTACATTCGACCGTTTCAACGATGTAATTTTGTCATTGCAAATTAGACACACCGCAGAACCCGCTCTCTCCACAAAGGCGAATTCTTCGGTCCATTCGTCCTGAAATGTACGATACTCGTCGTCTTTTTTTCTTTTCGCCATCTTCTTCGTCGAAGGGTTAGCTTTGAGCTAATGACCGAGCAGACGCAGTCTCAGACTGATTCAAAAGGGGGCGTTTACCTGTTTTACCCAGCAACGGCAAACGTAGGCCAGTATCATCCAATTAAAATAATGGACAATTGCTCCTGCAGCCCTGAACAGGACATGCGCAGTGAAAAATCGATGGATGGATTAAAACAAGTGAGAATATTTTGTTTTATCTGCGAGCCATATGCAATCATCAAAAGAGCCACATCTGGCTCGCGAGCCATAGGTTCCCGACCCCTGGTGTAGTGTATAGTGTAATTTATAGTCGTGTGTAGTGTATAGTAGTGTATAGTGTAATTTATAGTCGTGTGTAGTGTAGAGTGTAATTTATAGTAGTGTAGAGTGTAATTTATAGTAGTGTAAAGTGTAATTTATAGTAGTGTATAGTGTAGTGTATAGTCGTGTGGAGTGTAATTTGTAGTAGTGTAGAGTGTAATTTATAGTAGTGTATAGTGTAGTATATAATAGTGTGGAGTGTAATTTATAGTAGTGTAGAGTGTAATTTATAGTAGTGTAGAGTGTAATTTATAGTAGTGTATAGCTTCTGGAAGCTACTAGCAGGTTGTGAAAATAGGTTTTCCCCCTTTTTTTCTGGCAGCCAAACGGCTGCATTAAGATGTTAAAACACCAAACTGAAACTTTTCACAAAGGAATCGTGTTACTGCATTCACCACAGTACTTGTAAAACTAAAAGACAAACTCTGATCATATTTGCATGGTCTTTGAATCCGATTGGGCCACACCAGAGATG